AAGTACTGGCCCTAGGCATCCAGGAATCTAAATTTTCACACTGAAGATAAGTTCCCCAGCTGGCTCTGGAAAAAATGGTCCTTTAAAATAAAAAGCAATACTGTACCTTGTACTCTAAAATCTATTGATAATAAAAAAAAAAAGTGATCACAATATAGTGTAAAGGAGCTGAAACATTTCTCAGCAACCAACATGCAGACATTTTGCACTAATGAGCAGTCTTCCAAGTATTCCATTTATATCAAAGTGACAAACATATAGCTCTGATTTATCATTTAAGTTCAATTTTATTTTAATGGAAAAATCCATAAAAATTTGGCTGTAGTCCAGTTAGTATTTGGTGGTTTGGTTTTGTTTTTATTTTTTTACTTAAATACAAAACAAGAAAAGCCTACTTTTGGTCAAATTTGCTGAGCTTAACCATCCGGGGAGTGGAAACTGCCATTATTCCTCTAGGTATGCTGAAACATATTTGATGATGGCAAGCACCTTGGGATGCAAAGTGGAGATTAAACGCATCATATCATTTATTTATTTATTTATTTATATATATATATTTTTTCCAGGCACGGCGTGCTCTTTGTGAAGCTGGACTGATCCAAGGACAGAAAAGACTCAGTGACTGGCCATTCAAATCTCTTGAGAATCCTATGACAGCTTCACCCTATGCTGATTATTATGAACTGGGTTATAATCTGAGATCCAACATTTTCCAAGGTGGGCTAAACAGATTTTCATGCTTCCTATTTTGGTCTTACATGTAGTCCTTGACTTAGGTCCACAATTGGGACCAGAATTTCTTTGTAAGTCATTTCAGTCATAAGCTGAGTCAGAACCAATTTTAGGACAATGTTTATAGTAAGAAAAACCACATGGTTATTAAGCAAAGCACATAGTTGCTACACAAATCCAACTTTCCTAATGGGCATTTTTTGCTGGAAATTGGCAAATAGGTTGCAGATCATGATTATGTGACTGCAAGACACATTGCAACCAGTTGTAAATGCAAATTGGTTGCCAAGCACCAAATTGTAGTCATGTGACTGTGGGGGTGATGCAACAGTCATAAGTGTGAGTAAAGTTCATAAGTCACTTTTCTGAGGCTGTTGTAACTTTGAACAGTCATTAAATGAATGGTTGCAGGTTGTGGACTACCTGTAATAATAATAGCACGATTTGGTGCTGGTACTTTAAGAGATCTCTTCTGCCTTCAGAGGAATTATTTTCACAGATTAAGGAATTATTTTCACAGATTACTTTTGATTTTTCTGCTTGTAGGATCAAATTGTCATCTTCAATGTAGCCTGGGAGTTAGTATCATAGTGTCCCACAGACTTCTGCTTGTTTCTGTCACTCGGTGGTGAAGGGCATTGAGCACTGTTATTCAAAACACTGAAGTTGCCTTTTGTTTTTTTGTTTTATTTTGTTTTGCTTTGCTTAATATGCAAATGACCATATCAAAAAGTATTTCTCCCAACAAAAGATTTGACCCCAATCCCAAATTTAGTCAGTATCAAATATAAAAACCTGTCACTGCTTAAAATTCAATAAAGTATGACTAGTGCTTTTTTTGTAAAAAAAAAAAAAAAAAAGTGCTGGAACTCACACACTTCATACATCCTGCCTTGCCTACCCTAAAAGGTTCCATCCAAAAAAGGTGCCGGAACTCCGTTCTGGGCGTTCTATGACAAAAAAAAAAGCACTGAGTATGACTAACCTTTTCTTGTTTGTCCTCAATCTCTCTTGATTCCAATGATTTAGAGCAAAAATTATTATAGCAGAAGTGAACAATGTCCAAATATTCTTTCTGTAGGAGGGCCATTAGAAACAAAAAGCTTGATGAAGGATTCTTATACCCCTGATGTAATAAAGAGGGCAGTACGGGATCCCAAACGCTGGCATGGAAGGAAGACTGATGATCTAGGTAAGGAAATCTAGAAACTGCAAAGGAAAACTAGAAGGAAACATGCTTAGCTTTTTTTTTTAATGTTTTATTGATTTTCTAATTTTACATTTAAGTATTTAAAAAGCAGCGTGGTGGCTGAGTTAATCAAAAATTCAATGACATACAAGTATCTTTAGTACAAGATACTACCACATTAAATATTTCCTCTCTTTTCCCCTTAGTATTTATTGTCCGATGTTTAAACTAATACAATTCTTATTATATCAATTAAATAAAAATAACATTCTTACATTTATTAATAATTTTTAGGTTATACACCTCCTGGTTATTTTAACATTCAGTTTTTATAGACAATCAATGTCCTAATTAGTTTTTCCCAATTATTAGTTTCCCATTAATATTTAAATTTAACATTTGATATTTATAATTTCCAAGTTTTAAGTGACCAAAATTCCCTTTATCACAATTCATCCCAAAGTCTAATATTCAGGATACACGTCTTATCTATTTGAATATATTCTATTTCTCGCCATCTTACATCATCTAATTAATAATGCAATATAACTTCCTTATTTTCTATTAATTTCCATATGTCTTAAATTTAGTAACCAAAATTTCTCTTGTTTCAACATTAAATACTTCCTCTCTTTTTCTCTTAATGTCTACTATCTCATATTTAAGCTAATACAGTTTATTTATTTATTTATCAGCTAAGTAAAAACATGTTTATTACATTTATCAATAAATGTTTAGCTTATATATATATATATCTTAATTACTTTTACATTCAACCTTTATAAACAAATCAATATTCAAATTTAACTTTTGATATTTATACTTCCAAGTTTTAAATGACCAAAGTTTTCTTTATCTCAGTTCATAACAAAAATCTAGTACTCAAAGTACACATCTTGTCTATTTGAGTATATTCTATTTTAATCCTCATTAATAAATCACAACCCCAATTTTCTTCAGCTTTATTCTAGCTTTCTTTCTTTGCCAACTTGCCTTCCATATCCATGCTTTAAATCATGAAATAGTTCTCCCTCTGTTATTATATATGTTGTTTGAGATAAAAGAGGCCATCCAGTCGTCATTTTTTTGGAAGAGCTAACAAATCGTCTCTCTATTTTTCCATCTTTACGTAGTTGTCCTGAAATGTTTATCTTTCCTTCAATCTTTTCTTTTTCCTGATCCTCGGGTTTCTTCTGGTTTATATAGAAAGTCTTTTCCATTTTCAGTGTTATCAGTCCCTTTTCTGGGTTTTCCTTTAACTGTGTTTGTTGATCAGTTGAATCTTCTATCACAGTATTTGATTGTTCCACTTCTTCTATTATATTCTGTGTAGCTGATTCTTTAGTTGTAATTAAAATTTGGGTTCATATATATAGGCTGACATCTTGTTCTTTTCTGTAGCTTCTTATTTCATCAGTAGCTGTAAGAATAGTTTCATAAATTGCTTTCAACATAAAAAGAATCTGTTCCTGATCTTCATTCATGTTCTCTTAGTGGTATGTTAGATTAAAAGCTTTACAATCAGAGAAGGAAAATAATTTTGTCACTGAGTATGGAACACAGCTGGGCTTCTCACAGCTGATATCTGTCAAGGTTGCGAAAGTCTTATCTATAATTTGGGCTTCAAGCCAAGTCTCTTTTATACAATAACAAGTTGTAATATCAGGTTTAGCCACAAGATGTCGCCCACATTGTTTAAGATTTTTGTTTTGGTTTTTTTTAAGTCCAAAATTTTTATAATCCTTTTTCAATTTTACTTCTTTTTTTGTAGGTAAAAACCCAAATCTTCAATAAGAATAAGAAATCTTTTAGTCCTCAAATTTTAGAAAGATAAAAATCCAGTTAGAATCAAGTTATTCTTTCGGCATTTTAAACTCTCCTGGATAGTCAGTCGCTGCTGTTTTTAGAGGGTGGGATAAAATTTCCCTTCCCTCTCTCCACAGGGGGGAAAATACTTTGGGCAGCTTATACAAGTGGAAAAAATAATTAGGATTGAAGAAAGGTTCAGATATCACCCAGTTTCATCCGTGCTGCTTTATAGGTGTCTGGTAGTAAGTTTGACTTTGGCTGTCTGCAGTCTAGTGACGGACCATATTTCTATGGCCGGTCTTTCGTTCACCTGTTTAGAGGGCTGCCCCGGATCAAGCAGAAGGGCTACCGCCCTCCCGTGATCAAGTGGGGATCTGCTCTGTGCTTGTCGCTCCTACAGGGCAACTTTCGACCCTTTCCAGGGTCCACCAGTGGTGCAAAATCAGATGTGGAAGACAGAGCTCATCTTCCAGCAGCTGCGGCAGCCACAGCGGCAAACCAGAAGTCATGCTTAGCTTTTCTTCCTGTCAATGTAGATTATGTATAGATCTTCAGTATTATTACAATCTAAATATTTAGATTTAATCCATTTCCTAGTTTACAAACTTCAAACTATATGCTTAGGAACAGATTTAAAATAGTTTATATGAATTTCTGTACAGTATTCCCTTTCAATGATCCTTACATAATTTCACTACAATGTCTATAGAAGCAGTTTTGCTGTTACTTTTTCACTGGTGACTCTTTCCCAGCTTCTCCAAAAAGTTAAGGATGTAGAACTCAATAAAAATCCAGTCCAGTCTAGCAATGATTCTGAATCAGCATAGGATTTTTTTTTTTTAGCTGAAAAAAGTATATAGAAAATTCTTGAATTTGTAGCTTGTCCAATAATATTTTATTATAATTTTGATGATGATTGTTGCTGTTGTTGTTATTTTGTATCTCATTAGGGAGATGGTTCCAGAAAAATGCCCTAAATCTTAACCTGCAGAAAGCTTTGGAGCAAAAATATGGGGAAAAGAACAAAGGCAGCAAATCCTAAAAAGGCATAAAAGAGGCATATGAGCCCTTGGTGAAAGTTATCTGCCTCTCCGTCGCAGTGAAATAAATCTCATTGCAGTCTCTGTCCTTCTATGTACTTATCTATATTGATAACACTACAAGTAGGTTCAGATGAATACAGAAAGCTTGTTTGTCGTACTACTGACACTTTATAGACACCTGATTATACAAACTAGCATATAAGGTTTTAAAAGTACATAATTACATAACTATTTGCTACCAAATATATTGTTCATGGATCCAGTTTAAAAGTTGGTGACTCTTAATTAGTCATGTAACATATGAAAGCTTTGCAGAAGAAGTAGACTTCTTTTTAATTGCACATAAAAAAAATCATAAAAATTCTGGGGTGGTTGATACCTTCCTAAATATTCAGTCCAATTGCAGGCTGATATCTGCAAAGGAAAGTCCAACCTTTATTGGTAGAAGTGGATGTAGTATGAAAACAATGCAATAATACCCAAAATATTGCCTCAGCAATGAGGAAGTTTTCTATAGTGAAGCATGTTTTTGCATTAACAAAATCCATTGTATAAGACAATTATTGACTTCTGCCCAATAGGCTAGATAAAACCATTTGTTTTCTAATGAAAATTTTATTGTTGAAAAGAGGCCATTATGAAAGAAATCCAGTGACTGTTATATACCAAAAGCAAAGTCATATTATCATAATTTGCTTCTCTCTCTGACATATATTTGATATCAGTTTGTTTTCTTCTGATTATATAAAAATAATCCTTCCACAGCATAAAAGAGAGGAAGATTATGTATTCAAGGACTTGAGAGTTTTTATTGAGGAACATGTTTCACATGTCTTGGCAGACCTAGGAGGTGACCTGTAACTTATTGTCAGCAAATTTTGTCTCCAAAGGGTATTTGGTGACTTTTGGAAAGCTTTCTGGAGGCTGGTGGCCCACAGGTGCTTCTTGACCCTTACTGTCTTCTTTGGTCTTGGAGCCAGGAAAGAAGCAGTATTCACCCTCTTGATATAAGAAAAGTGGGCTTCTGCCACCAACATTGAATATAAGAATGTCCTGCTTAGATTCCTCCATGGCAAAAGCTAATCCATCCTTTGGTATAGCACCTGAGGTAGCAGAAAAACTCATAAGATAGTCACTAGATTCTTCCTGGGATATTGCTGAGAGATCACTGATACTTTGATCCATAACTGGGGGGGTTGGTTTTAATGTCTTTTGACATAACTCTGAATTTGAGAGATTTTCATTAGTTTTGGGTATGTGTGCAGCAACTGTTGCTGTGTTAGCACAAGGAAGCATTCTTTCCTCTGAGACCAACACAGGTAATGGCAATAAACATCCCTTTTCTTTGCTTATTGAAAGATCTACTGTAGCAATGTAATCTAATGGCAAATTTTGACAGTGGCTATTTGAGCTGGAAAGACATCCTGTAGTTTTCTCTTTCTTCAACTGTCCACTTGTCTCCTGGATTTGAGATGCTTCTTGTCCTGTAGGAAACAGCAGCTGTTCCACCTGCTGATGTACATTAGAGTCAGACAATAAAGTATTTTCCTTTTCCCCTCCTGGCTGTTGCTGAAGAGACAAAGAAGGTTGTAATCCTATACATCGCAAAGACACTGGTGTTTCCTTCAGTTCTGAAGGAGTAACTTTCAAATCCTGCTGAACAGTATGTGCAAAAGATTCTGCAGAGGAATACATGTATGGGCCATTAAAATCAAATATTTGTGTATTGGGATTAGTACAAATCTGGACTGCATTTGCTTTATTGAGAAGGTCTATCTTTTTCATATTCTGAGACCAAAGCAACTGTGGTGTTTTCTTGAACCCATCTTCAATAGCTGCTGGGCTGCCAATCAGTAATTCCCTGCAACAGGAAAGAAAGTAACCAAAGGACAATTATCATTTATTTATAAAGCCTCAAACAGAACACATCAAGGCTTAGATGAGAAAGAAATGGCAAGTGGGACAATAAAAATGTCTTTAAGAGGAAGAATTAAATGATACTTAGTACAGGTAGTCCTCAACTTACACCAGTTCATTTAGTGACAATTTGAAGTTACAACAGCACTGAAAAAAGTGACTTATGACCTTTTTCACACTTATGACCATTGCAGCATCCCGATGGTTGCATGATCAAAATTCAGATGTTTGGCAATGGAGTCATATTTAGGATGGTTGCAGTGTCCTGGGGTCTTGTGATCCCCTTTTGTGATCTTCTGACGAGCAAAGTCAATGAGAGAGTCAGATTCACTTAACAACAGTATTACTAACTTAACAACTGCAGTGATTCATTTAACAAGTGTGGCAAGAAAGATTGTAAAATGAGGCAAAACTCACATAACAAACATCTCACGTAGCAACCGAAAGTTTGGACTCAATTGTGGTCGTAAGTCGAGGACTACCTGTATTTAAAACTACCCCAAAGTCTTCCAGTTTCCTGAAAGCTTATTTTTTCTTTGCAAAATAGGTTTTTGTATTTCTACCTCATTCACAGGATGCTTTAGAGCAGTATTTTTCAAATTTAAAGTGTGCGAAGCCATGCCCTTGCAGACTGATAGAGGTAAATGAAATAATATAAATAGCCATAACATTTCATTTTTAAAAGTACTCTCAAATGGTAGAAGAAACCTTCTTCATCCAGACTCTTTTTCATGGTCCCATGATTTGTAAATAGTACCGGCTCTGCTAGTTTAATGGTTACACAGAGCACGATCAAATCAACATGTGTTTAAAACCATTAAAACAGTCACTATAGGTAGTCATTAACTTAGACTTTAATTGAACCTAGAATTATAGCCATAAATTGTTGTTAACTGGATCATCACGTGATTGGACCCAATTTTATGACATTTTTTTACAACGGTCATTAAGTAAACTCTACAGTCATTAAGCAAATCTTTGTTATCCAGTGGGCATTTTTTTGCCACAAACTGGAAGCAAATGCTGGAGACCAGCAAAAAACATCAAAAATCACACTACCCTGGGATGCTGCAAATGGCCATAAAGTTGAGCAGGTTGCCAAGTAACCAAAAGGTATCTCCTGACTGCAGGTGGGTGAGGCTGTCATAACTTCAAAGTTAAATCATAAGCAGCTTTTGGAGGAGGGTCCATTGTAATTTCAAACAGTCATTTAGTGTCCAGCTGTAAGTTAAGGACTGATATAAGACTATCCAACATTGCTATAGTAATGAATACTTCTCCTCATGGACTAGAAGTTCCTCCCAAAACTTCCTAGGTTTCTGATGATGCCCAGCCTTTCCAAAATCTCAAACTGGTGCAACATTATCATGAATCTTTGGGACCTGTTCATAGAGAAATACAAAGTTCCTGTGGTGGATGGAATCATTGAATTGTAGTATTTCTTCAGAAATCAGTTTCATGAATTTATGGTCAAATTACCCTTTTTTACAACTTCATAATCTTTCTCATTGACTGAATTTAAGATTCAATCTACAGAGTTTTTGCTTTGTTTAAGCTCATCATTGTAACCTCTGGCTCCTCCATAAGCAAACAGCCTAATTCATTTTCCTGGTTATATTTTTTTTTTCAATATTTTTTGCTTCTCTATAAACATTTACAACTTGTTTTTTTCAAGGAGATGGTAGCCTCTCTGGACTGCTAAGTAAAGTGTGTTTCAGTCTTGCAGTATTCTTAGGTAGATTGGCTTCAGGGTGCAACTGCCTGCTTGCAAGTGCAAAGTGCAAACCAACTACCAGCTATACAGGGCCAGAAAATGGTTAATTGCTAACTCTATGAAACTACAAAACAGAGTACTCAAAACTCACTTGGTTAGAAATCTCAGCAGGGAAGAAATTATTGACTTTCTTACTGAAAAGTAACTTGAGATGTGCAAATACAAAAATATAAACCTGTCTACAAATGCTATACTTTTCAATTTTCAATTTCACTTTTTCACAGATCTGAACACTAAAGAAAATTACTGGACTTTTTTAAAATGATAGAATTGGAATCCACAAAGGGGCTGTTCTGACATAATTGAAAAGCATTTGGCCTTTATGCTTCTTTTACATTCCCAATATTTTGGTTCTTGCCTCAGTTTCAGATTTTTATATACAGTAATAATTAGAAGTGTATTTTTTGTGTGTGTCTTCTAAAAGGTAATTGAATTTTGAAGGAAATACTGTGAGTGAGGATCCTCCCACATGCAAAGATTCTAGCATAAATCCTGCCTAAATCCTAGTTGTTAATGGCAATAGCACTTACTGTAGATTTATATACTTATATATAAAGCTTCATAGTGCTTTATAGCCTTTTTTAAGCAGCTTACAGAGTCATCATATTGCCCCCAAAAATCTGGGTTTTCATTTTGCTGACCTTGGAAGGATGGAAGACTGAGTCAACCTTGAGCCAATCAGGATTTAACTGGTGGCAGTGGGCAGAGTTAGCCTGCAATACTGCATTATAACCAATGTGCCACTACGATTCTTTAAATAATTGAATATAGGCTTTCATAAATTAAACTGAGCTCTAATTTCTTCTCTTTGGTGTGTTGAACATTGGCTCGACACCAAACTAGGGATCTCTAAGTTAATAGTTCACTTCCTTTATAGTTTTGTGAAAATGCTTTGAACTGGACTTCCAGTAGCATGTCTCTCAGTTTTATATACTCACCTCTCCAGTTTACTGGAATAGTTGATTTCCTCCTTTGCTAAAGCACTGCTATCTTCTGAATGGTTCGCCAATTGCACTTTCTAAAATGAAACAAGAATAAATTGCAGCCCAATCTAGATGAAAATGCTAAAAGAAAGAAATGTTCAAAAAGACCTATACATACAACACATTTGAAATACTGCATCCAGTTTTGGTCACTACAATACAAAAAAGACTTTGAGAATTTAAAAAGGTTGCAGAGAAGAAGAGCTAAGATAATTAGGGAGCTTGAAACTAAAACATATGATGAACAGTTGGTAACAGATAGAACTTTATCAAAGCAAGTTCCAATGTAGACTTAAGGAGAAATTTCCTGTCAAAACAATCAGTGAAATGGCTTGGGTCCATCACAAGAAATCAGACAGCCATTTGTTTGGAATGGTATAGGGTCTCGTACTTCAGCAGGGGATTGGACTAGAAGACCTCCAAGGTCCCTTCCAACTCTCTCATTCTGTTTTCTGTAAAGGTAACCATCTCAATATGTTTTTCATGTCTAGTAACATCCCACAGCAGTTCTGTGTCTGCAGACTTGGTATTCATATGCAACTGACTTCACACATATACAATTCTTCTCTTCTACACTGCATAGCTTGTTTGAATTCACATAAAGCAAGGTAAATCTGAGAGTTTTGAATAGAAAGTGGCTACAACAGCAGTTTCAAGTTAAGCAGGCTTGGGCATGCTTCTGCCTATTTCCTGAGTTGATTTATCCTTCTTATCCAGATTCCCCTGATCCGTCATTTTACATTTTTTATAAGTGAATGTTGGGGAGGAACACAATATCCAGGAATGTATAACATGCCACTTGATCCCCCAATTCCGAAAAAATCCTTAATCCAAAAACCAAACAGAATAAATAAACTATAACTAAATACTAAATTAAGAGATTATCTTTTGGGGATTTATGGGCCACTGGTTCTCCTCCTCAGCTGTTTGCTACAGTACTAGGAGTTCTGCAGAAGCCAGCAATCAAAAGGTACAGATAGCAAAAAAAGCAAGATGGTGCAACATTAGCTATGCTAGTATAGTGTTTCCTTATTGACTTAAGTAGTTAACAGTGTTGATCTTTAAGGAAGTGATTTTAAAAGATTAAATCTCTGGCCAAATATTGCAATGTTTAAAACATAGGCAAGGCTATTTGTGAAATTATAAGCACAAGATTTGCCAAAATAAGATCTAGCAGTGGTGCCAAGACCCAGCCTGTTTCGTGGTACAGTAGAATAGTTCTCTTTTCTCATCCATGTGCAAACTCCCATTGTGCAGCTTTAGGAGCTCCATGGGACTTTTTTCAATTTGGCTTTGTTTCTTCTTTTACATTACCATATGGGCCATATGCTTATGTCCTTCTAGATTTGGATTCCACAGCTTTGTCGACTGAAGGGCAACAAGTTCTGCCAGTTATCTGGATGTGCCCTAAGAACAGCCTTTCCCAACTTTGGCTCCTAAGTCATCATACCCATCACTGCTAGCCCTTGGCCAGGGTGTGATCTAACATCAAGCCTAGATTCTGTTTGGCTGCTAAAGAATCTGTTTTAGATAACTTATACTTCTTTCATTTTTTTTTCTTTTATTTTGGCTTAAAACTGTATTATATGCTAATAAAACCTGTTTTAAGAAGATCTTTCTTACCGGAAAAAAACTGGGGAGAAGAAACGTCTTCGGAGGACTTGGAATGTTTGCTTCCCATTTCTTTTTCTTGCTGTAGCAAAAACATATATTTAATTCAGAGAACCACCAAAACTATACCTGACTCTGTTCAACCAGCACCAAAACCTCACCTTTACTTTTGCAGCTGCCACACAAAAGCAATATTGAGTGAGCAATCAAGTCCCCACTCCAATTTCACTGATAGCCAGCCTAGATTTTGCTGCCATTCTACTCATCTTAGGTAATTTCCTTTGGTTTAAATCCAGGAGTTACAAGACATCTCTTATCATTCTTTCAAATCACCATATTGACTTGGAGCTGATAAAATCTGAAGGACTTGGGATCTGCTCCAAATCCTGGAACCGAGGTCAGCAGAAAAGAGAGATGAACCAAGAAAGCAGGAGCCGGTTGCAAAATGGAAAAGGGCAATATTTGGCTTAGGCTCTAGAATCCTTAACCCCATCAGACAGTTTCACTTCAACATCTCAAATGAGAAACTGGCTCCAGTTGATTGCACCTGTATTTCATCTGTTTCCATTTTATAGTTACCCATGGCCTTTGAGGACCTCCCTCCCAAAAGTGAGTAAGGACAGGGCAAAGAATTGATTGAATTGGTTTGGAGGTAGAAATGGCAGAGTGAAGATGGCTCCATGAAACACAGAGCAATGAACAAAACTATAGCAAAAAATAAAGAGAGGTCTGGAACCTCTCCAGATAAGGAAAAGAAGGGAGATTGCCCAATGTGCTCCATATACATGCTCCTTGTTGATTCCAGGTGGGGTTTTTTTAAAACACTGGGAGACAATGGGAATAGCCATCTTGCTTGTAACCACCGTTGGGCCTTTTAAAGACTACTAAGCTCACAAACTTTCTTTTCCAATCACTTTCAGAAATTGCTTGTTAACTATTTGTAAGCTATTAGAGACCTTCAGATCAACATGTCTCAAAACACCCTGTGAATTTGCCTTCAGTTCTTAATCATAAACTTAAGATTTTTTTTTAAAAAAAATAAACAACAGCAAGCAACAGTAAATAAGACTTTGACCACAAATACATTTGTAAAGGATGCTAGATGAATCTTTCATGCAGCCTCCCACCCACAGTGAAATTTTGACTGAGTTTCTCAGAAGACTGAGAAGTTTTGACAGAAAAGTTGAATGAACCCAGCATTTGAGCAGAGAAATTATGCAATATAGTGAGTAGTATTTGTTGAGGATGAATGGAATGAAGAAAATGATCCTGGGTGTCATATAATAGTTTATTGCCCAAGATGTTGTATATCTGCTTATACAAATAACTTACCTGGGCCAAATGACATTACACAATCTAAGCAAACAAAATAGTCTTATGTAGCCAGTGCAAAAAAATATGGCAGATCAAAGTAACATTTAAATCCAATCTGGTACAAATTGAACCTGACTGAAATACAGCACACTGAAAAAGGATGTGCTTTATGTTGCTTGGAATTTTCACTGGAAAGTATGCAGGTAGCAATGTACATGTATTTACTCCCAAAGAGTACAGCTACTGGAACAAGATTACAGAGAACTATTCAGTCCTGAGGCTGTATAATGGAAATGAAGTCTGCAAAGACTTCACAGTGGCTTGGGACAATTGCAGATAATGTCAGAGAGGCAAAGAAAGCTCAGTTTAACCCAATTATGTCATGTTCAAAAATAATTCTATAAAACACAGGCCTTACATTGTTGAGCTAGCAGAAATTCTTAGGTTTTCTCTAAACAAAATTTGCTGGGTTCATACATGGGGAAAGTGATGAGATAATGGCAATAGAGTAATTTTATTTAAACCCTTGTACCTAGTTACAAATTATGATATCAAAATTCAGTCCAGATTGTTTATTTTACAAATTTCTGAAACCCCCAATCCAAGCAGCCCTGAGATCTTTGGCTACATGGCAAAGGAACTTTCATATAATGCTTGAAATTGCCTTCAAAATTTGAAACAGCAAACTCCAATCTAGTGCTTTCTAGATGCATTGTGACTACAACTCCTAGCATACTCAGCTAGAATTCTGTAACTTGTCATCTCAGCATAACTGAATGTAACAAATTGGGGAATGTCACCCTAAGATTTAAGTAAAGGGAGATGAGCAGAGTGCCCTTAGCATAGCCACTTGCTATTATGGGAAGGAATCTTCCATTCAATCCTCCCTTGTTCCTAAGATCTCAATCTCACAGCTATTTCCAGGGCAAAAAACACACACACAAAAAACACTAAAACAAAAGATAAGGAACTTGACAAAGAGGTAGAGACCTGCCAAAGGTGGTATATATTCCTTTTAGGATAGACAAAAGATCTCTTCTTCTATGGTTGCCACCTCCAGCTGCAACTGTTAATTAAGCAGCAAGCCAGTTGATATGGTAAATAAGCGGAAAACCCGCACAAAATCAGCAGGGTGCCTAGCCACCAAGCCTCCCTTTTGGTCATCCACCTAATCATAGTTTTCAATGATTCCTAGTGGGTGGGTTCTGTTTCTGTGAGGAATAAAGGACAAGACAGAAAGATAATCACTTGACAACTATAACTCTGCTGCAACCTTGGATTGCTGTACTTCATGTGAGCTCCTGAATCCACTATGCCTCTGCTCCCAGTAACTTATCCTGTGTGTTCTTTGGATGACCTAGTCTGATTTTAAACACAGTACTTTCTTTTAACACTATTTTCCCACCTCTGTTTTGCCAAGGCATTAAAATGTACATCATGCATACCTGAGAAGATATTTTTGGCAAAAGCAGATTCCTCCCATCATCAGAATGATACAGACCACGGTTATTAGCAAGATACCCCAGAGAGGAAAACCTAAAACAGAATAGAGGATAAAAAAAGAAAATCAATTAAATGAACTATTAAAGCAAGTTTTAGGAAGAAAAGAACAACAACAACCAGATCAGACCACAGTATAGTGTGGAATGACATCCAAGTGGGCTGTCTTTGATGATACCTGGGAAACTATATATCATCCAGTATACTGTTTCACTTCTACTCTAGCCATAGTAATAGCATTTAGACTTCTATACTGCTTCACAGTGCTTTGCGGCCTTCTCTAAGCAGTTTATTGAGTTAGCATATTTCCCCCAACAATCTGGATCCTCATTGTACCAAACTTGGAAGGATGGAAGGCTGGGTCAACCTTGAGCTGATGAAATTCGAACTGCTGAACTGCAGGTAGCTGGCAGTCAGCAGAAGTAGCCTGCAGTTCTGCTTTCTAACCACTGTGTCACCACAGCACTTAGTTTGGCAAAGAGAAGATCTCTCAAAAGTTTAGGCAGGAATTTTCACGGCTTTACTTGGAGATGTCAGGGACTGAATCTGTGATCTTTTGCATACAATCACATAATTTGCATAGATTGCATTTATTTTTTTAAACAGTTGCATAATTAGAGCTTATTTCACTGTTTTCATTATTTCTATTCCTTAATTCAGAGCATTTATTTCTAAATTATTTCAGTACAATTGTTGTCTTGAAATAAATAAATAAGATGTGTGTGTGCACATGCACACACCACTCTTCATCCACAAAAAATCCCACCATGATATTAATTAAATAATAATAATCTGTTACATATATAGTTCATCACAATCAAAGTGACTCTGGGTCACAATCCAAGCCAAATGCATGCATTGTATATTATATTTTGCCTTCTGAAGATACCGTAACCTAAATTATTTCCCCATAAAGACCAAAAGAAGATTAGTGTGCACTCTTAACTTACCACTGGTGGTTTGCCAGCCGAAGTCCTCACTCCATTCACTCCAATAACCTTGGTAGTCAGGGTCGCTTACTATTGTTCGCACCTTTGCTATGTAATTTTTGCCTAGTTCCAGGAACTGTGAAGTGAAGGTAAATTTCTGGTTTGTGGTGTTATCAACATGGGCCTGAGAAGAAGGGAAAAAAGATAAGTCATTAAATGAGGGCAAACAGAAACATCATCTGTTTGTTGTATGCAGGGCTTTTTTTTGTCATAGAACGCCCAGAACGGAGTTCCGGCACCGTTTTTGGATGGAACCTTGTAGGATAGGCAAGGCAGGTTGTATGTCGTGTGTGAGTTCCAGCACCTTTTTTTTTTTTTTTTTTTTAGAAAAAAAGCACTGGTTGTATGAAGCAATCTATTCCATCTTACCTCTAAAGGTTTTCCAGTTTCCCAGTATGAGATCTGATACATCTTTTGCAAATCAAAAATTGTATGGATGATTTTAGAGTCCCAGTGGAGGATGTACTGAGGGCCATCAATTACTGACATGGACAGGTTGTAAGGTGGGTCTGGCTTGACTATAAGAAACAAAAATGTATCAAGAGACTCATCAATTTATTATAAAATTCTAACTCTCTCTCAGGCTCTGGATACGTTGCATCATCTCTGATTCTTTCCCTCGTTCAGATTTTTCTGAATTTCACATTAAAGAGGAATATTCCTAGTATTGGTAAATTCTTATTTAAAAAAAACCTGAGCCAGATGATATGCTTGTGCATCTGCCTAGGTCATATTTAAAGAGTTAGTTTTTCATAACATCCCAATATATAATTTTAGTTATTCAGGGAGAAAAACTTGTCAGAAAAAAAACACTGGCAACTTTAATTCAGCATTGTAAATATAGGATAGTACATAAAGATTCAGACTCAGAGGAATTAGAGTTTTACTTTCTTTCATTTAAAAAAAATATATCAACAGCTTTCTGTTTTTTAGCAGAAATATGCAAATACTAGTAAATTCAATAGAAACCCAAGCAAAAGCCTTAGCCAGCTGGAACAACAATCACTGATGAAGCATCCTTTGCTGCCCTCTATCATGTGCAAAAGAAACTAATTCTGAGTTTTAGACAACTTTATTAAGCTAAGTTGAAGTTCATCCATCTTCACATTCCCAGAGAAACTCTGCTTTGAACAATTCCATATGGCAGACTGAGAAAGCAAGTTTCGGTGGCTCAACTTTCTATGGTTAGGTCTCCTATCTATACAAGTGCCATTTGCTGACACTTTTCTTTTAGTAATTATTTCCTTCTTCTTTGTCCTCACTCTTTTCCTTTCCAGATGTTTGTATCCATGACTATCTTATCATCCTTTTGCTGCATTCTCTCTTTTGATACTAATATAGACCTTTTCTTTTGTGCTCCCACTGAACTATTATTGTTTTGATACTAAAACATGAAAGCAAAAACAACAGGATGCCTATATTCCACCATTCATTATATTTTTATTAAAAGGTTTTGTTTCGTACTTTGTACTAATGATGAACATCTTATAGCCAAGGTTTATAAAAGGCTGCTACAGTTGAACGTAGAATGTGAATATGTTAAACTTTGTATAATTCAATGGACAAGAAACATTGGTTATATCACAATGTTGGAGCAATGGAAAAAATATGTAGACTAAAAGACTGAAATTTACATTGAATTATAACCTTAAAGAGAATTTGTATAAAGTGATGCATCAATGGTATTTAACACCAGATAAATTATCAAAGATGTATAAGGGTTTTTCAAATGTTTGCTTGAAATATAATTGCAAGGAAGATACCTTTTATTACATGTGTGTGAAAAGACAAAGAAATATTGGGAACAGATTGGTGTTTTACTTCCGAAGATTTTAAAAATGGACTTACAATGGAAACCTTGAATTTTTTCTTTTAGGACGTTAGATAAAAAATGGGGGAAAATGGAACTCTTTTATTGTATTTGTTGATAGATGCAAAAATTCTGTCTGCCCCAAAATGGAAGGAAGCATCAACTCCCACAATGGAGGAATGGATCAAAATGATGATGGTGGGGAAGTTGACTGCATCAGTTAGGGAAAATAATGTAAATAGTTTTGTTGTTACTTGGAAATGTTTCTGGACTTTCTGCTAGGAAGAGAAAAAAATGAAACTTTGTGTTTTGATGATTAAATGGGTTATTGCTATAGAAATGACTAGTAATTACTATTTGGTATGAGTAAAACTTTGATATTGCAATTCCCTTAGGAGTCTTACAGCACTGAAAAAAGTTGGAAGCTTCTACTTTTTGTTTCTTTTGTTTTCTATTCTTACTTCCCTCCCTGTATTCCTTTTCCCTTTCTCTTCCCTTTTTCTATTGTCTTTAATTCCATTTGTATTTTATATTAAGACATTCCATTGTAGGTCCATAAAAACTTGTAGCAAGGATAACCAATGGTTCAGCTGCAACATAGGCATGTTGGAAAGAAGCTCAAAGTTTCAATGAATGCTTTTGTGCTTTTGGGAAGCTGAACCATCAGTTAGGGAAGAGGAGATTTGCAGTAGTATAGACAGGGATGGGAAAGCAGAAAATGAAGACCTGTCTTGTTGGTTACATATTTATTTGATACATATACAGCAGGAGTGTCAAACTGCCGGCCCCTGGGCCAGATTCATCATGTTGAAACTGCGCCCACCCCAGCTCCAGCAATGGAGAAAAAGTCATGATACATTGTGACACATCACATGATGTGGCAAGTTTGGCAACCCTGATCTACAGTATATCATGCCTTTCCTCCATGGGCTCACTCCAATGTGCGGACCACTTCTTTCTCCAATTTGTCTCCACAATGGGGACATGAGAAAGTGCCAGGTAAGCTTCTGAGGACAACTTTGAACATGGATTGTTCACAATCTTAATCTACTCTCTACATACATGCCATAGTGGTCAATTAGATGATTATTATCTTCATTACATTAAATCCCATCTTTGTTATGGAGTTCAACTCAAATATGTGAGGTTTTTAAGAATAGTCATTTAGGCATTGATAAAATCCAGGGTTATTTAACTTTAGTGAAGTTGTAATATCATGTGTCTTCAGGCCATACCTAAATCCTCCTTAATCTGCTAGACATATGCTAGAGAAGATTATACAGTACAATCCATTTTATCTGCATGTTTGCTTCTTTATGACTCTGTATTGGATATAATCCAAGAAAGAGAATCAAGAATTACAGGAGTCAGCACATGCCTTGTGAAATAAATAGGCATTCTCTAAAGGGGACTTACTGTTCAGATACATCTTGATCTCTTTCACTTCTTCTTTTGGTATCACACGGACAAGATATTGGCTTTGCTTGCTGGAGTTAGTGACATTGATCTCACAGCTTTGCAATACATGATAAGTGGCATTATTGCTTATAAGAGCTTCTTGATAGACTTCAGAGCATTCCATCTCTCTGCATATAAACAAATATGACAGAGAGAACTTATAAAAATATATATTAAATTTAAATTTTTTAAAAAGTAAGTCATTTGGGAAAATATTTGATTTAAAAATAGCTTCTTACTTTGATCCAGGTTTGTCTTTGTAAAAGAGTGTGAACAAGATAGAATTGCTGATTTCTTGTCTCACCTCCCAACTGCATTTGAGTCGATCAATTCCATTAAAATAACATTGAAGATTCTTGGGCACAGCATCATCTGATGGAGAAACTAGAAATACATTCATTGGAATTGTGAAAAATATGACAAAAATAAGAAGGAAGAATTTGATAAAGAGCATTGTAAATTTAAAATTAAAAAAGGTAAAGGTTTCCCCTATCCAGTTCTGTCTGACTCTAGGGTGTGTGTCTCTGGGGCAGTTTTAAAGCCTATAAGCAAGTAGATGTTTCAATGCTAGCAAACATTCAAACTAAGTGTAAGTAAGACATATAAAACATCCTCGTGGATCAATCCTATACAACCTTCTAATTCTACATCCTATTTCTGATAAAGTTAGCCAATTTCTTTTGGAAAGTTCATTATTGTGTTGAAAAATTATCCTGTACCAGTTCTCACTTGATTTAAAGAAAGATAATTTGCTTTCAGGATTTTTTTATTTTTATTTTGTCAAAGAAGAGGAAAAGAGGTGGGGTATCTGGTGTTCTTGCATCTAGTTAGTTACAAAGTGAAAAAAAGGTATTTTTGTGTATATATCAATAGTGCATCTTTCTCTGGCAGTCTGTAGAGTCCTTGGTTTATCATAATCAAAAGCCAAGGGAAGATGAGGAAACTCTTTTACAGTACAGACAGAGAAATTCAGAGAAATGTGTAAAAACAATGGACAATACCAGCAATGGCACATTTGCCAATTTCAACCATAAATCAAGCTCAAGAACACCAGAAAAACTAAATAATCAAGTATTCTGAGAATAAGGAGGCAAAAGCGAAGCCCCATAACATTGACACACAAGAACAAAACTACGCTAGTAACTGTTGCTGCCTAATAATTTGTATCAAGTGGAGAATCTTTTTCTTGAGGTTGTTGCATGTTCAACTGAGACTCACCTGGGTTACTCTGACACTATTCTGATCTAACCTGGCCTCAGGACACTCTCAGCATGGGCCTGTTTCAAGTGGCCAGGAGTCAACATTTGCCCTTTCTGGTTAATAGTTCAACACAGATTTGTCAGCCTAAAATTGGTAGCCAACGAACTTCATTACACCCACCCCATGTCCTTGTTTTTTTAAAAAAATCCATCCTTTCATAAAAAGAAAGGAAAATGTTCTGTATTTCTCAGGGTTGCAAAGGTCCTCTGCCAAGTGATTCTAACGCAATAGCAGTTTGCTTCAGTGCCCCCTTGACAAAGGAGCCAATTCCTCTCCAATGGACACACAAAACATTCATCAGAACTATTTGAGAAGCAAATTTGAATTGGCTAGTCACTATTAGTTAAACATAATCTTTTACTGACAACCCATCAGTAACAATGTCGCCTAAACACAAAAGACCTCATCTCATTGCTGGTGTGGAACTGAAGATTTTTTGGAAGATCTCCCCAGTGGCCTGTTGTGTCTGTAGCTGGCTTTCTGTAGTCATTGTGATTTAAAAATCATTGCTAGACTTGGCCTTAGTAAATTTCCCTAATCAACTTTTAAAGCCATCTGAACATTTATAAAACTAACAGCTGTCACTACTACTTGGGAGATAGAGTCCATAGATGCTTTATGTATCATGCCTTGGAGAAGAATGGAATGAGCAGCTGCATGTAATGAATAAGTACCATTTCAAGAAAAAGCTAGTAGGGAAAGCTTTAAATGATTAGAAGTGCCAGTTACTTAAAAGAGAGAGAAAGAGAAGGGAGAAGAGAAGTATAAAGACAGTAGTTGGTAAGTTGGTAAATTCTTCTTCCTATGCTAAAAGGTCTGAAGTTCTAAAAGGTATCTTGAAATGGCCTTTCAAGATTCACTACCCACTTGGAAAATCTTAGAGTTCATTTTGGATGAGTTCTAAGTGTAATATAATAAATTATTACAAACCCAAATAATAAGGAAATTATTGTCAACCATTGTCTTTATCTCTTTTCCTTGTCTAAAATACATTGACTTGAAGCTTTCTTGAAAACCATAATGTAAAAATTCGATAAAATAGCTACCCATCTAGCTCTGTGAAGCCTTCATATCATATTGGATTTTAAAAATGGGAAGAAGAGTTTGCTATTGAAGCCCCATTGATATCAACTTGAAAAGGATAAGTGGAACAAAAAAGATCGTGGTAGCAACATTTACTCTGTTCAGCCACTTCCTTTGATTGACAAAGTCATCTGAGGTAAGTCATTGCCGGTGTTACAAAAAGTGTGAAACCTCAGTTTTTGCATTAAATGTTTTTTTCACATAAAGTTTTATGTTGCTTAAGTTATTACTTAAGTCTTATTCTCTTGTATGTCAATTTTTCTAGAGAACTTCCTTTCCTGAATCTATGCATTCTGTTGTTGACACAGAAGCAGTTCTGAGATCAGTCACTAAAGATTTGTAAAGATTTTCAAATCACAGTCTCATTGTTCTGGAGTTTTAAAAAAGTTTCAGCCACTTTTGCCCAGGTAATGGTTCTTCCACCAAGATCATCTTCCTTACTATTTACACTGCTGTGCAATAACTGTATTGCCCCTGGCAGAAATTCTTGAACCCATCTGAAAAGGCTGGGTGTTTCATTCATGAAGCATGAAAGAAATTAAGCATGCATTTTTTGAGCTAGATAAATGAAATATTTTAAAACCCAGACTAAATTCTAAATTATTGTTTGTTTTTAAAGTGAGAAAACAAGAATTTGGACAATGGAAGAGTTAAAACAACTTTTTTTCCTATTGATATGATAGATGGGAGCTTAATAAATAACAAAACATTGAAGTGGTTGGCCTAAATTTTATCCAGCTGATGAGGATCCTTTCCAGAAATTTAAAGTATCTGCAAACATCTGCAAACATCAAATTTTCATTTTTTTTCTCAGTCAATAGTCACACAAAGTTCTCCTGTTTTTCAACTTACTTTCTGGTGTTTGCCAAGTTACCACTGGACTCCAGTCACTGTAACGGCCAGCAAATCCACTTCCTGGACTTGGCTTACTTCTAACCCTGGCAACATATCTGCTGTCAGGCACAACGTTACTGTGTCGGAGACAATAATGAGACTTATTTGAGACCAATACAGAGGAAGATTCCTAGAATGTGTAAGGAGAGAGATTGGTATAAAAATATGGAAAAAACGAACAATCTATCTGTTCTAGGAAAATAAACATTCTAAACTTGTTTCTTATTTAATGCAATGATTTCCTATGTTTAAATATTGGGTATTAAATATTTCAGAATATCTAATTTATCTGATGGAAAATTATGGAAAATTGTAATAATATTGGGTGGAAAGATTTGTTTCTCTTAATTATTTTTATGGGTATGCTGCCCAGAGTCCTGTTTGTAGGATGGTTATAAACATTTAATAATTAAATGAACAAAATTAATTTTCTCCTCTCATTATTTTTGGGAATGTGGACAAATGGGGGGTGGTATTTTTAAAAATAAAATGCTGGTATTTAAGTTTACTGGAGTTTTTCTGTACTTATTTTATTGTTGGCTTCTTTGAAAAATATATTGTGCACTGTAGTTCATCCTGATGTTATTGAATGCTAATAAACCAGTGCTGGGGGTCCAGGGTCTACAAAACTTGGTTGGGAAACCAAATACTACCTACAAACACTAGGTTGCAGCATGTCCATATTCAAAATAAACTTTCATAAATACAGCCAGCTTCAGTTTTTGATTAATCCACTCATGGAGTGAAAGTTCATTTGAGATTGTTTTAGGGTTCATCCCTGCTCACAGCCTCATCAGCTAGATAATTTATTTGGCAAACTTTTAAAACTTTCAAAGAAGTTAGGGATTCTGGACTATCATATTAGGAAGGAAGGAAGGAAGGAAGGAAGGAAGGAAGGAAGGAAGGAAGGAAGGAAGGAAGGAAGGAAGGAAGGAAGGAAGGAAGGAAGGAAGGAAAGCTGAAGATGTCATAAGATTAGAGTTTGTTTGTTTTTGAGCTACAGATGAATACAACTACAGTATTCTCTAGACTCCATTCAAAACTTACAATTGCTTTTGTTGTGGAAGAAATCTACTGCTTACTACTAGTTTCCTAATAAACTGTAAATATAAACAGAACTACTGTGACTATGTAATTATTATGATTGCCATAGATACCTCCCAAAGTTCCAAAGTTCTTTTATAGCTTATTTCAAAATCCAGGGGAACACCTTCCAACAACTGATTTCTGTTTGTTCCTCCACCTGCTTTCCACTCCAGTAGGAAATTACATTCTTCTGTGGCAGTAACATTTAATTTCTCAGGTGGCAGAAGCTGAACTAAAGGAAAAAATGAGGGAAAGGCATAGGTTAATTCTTGCCCATATGGAAATCACTCATTTACTAATACTGCCCAGAAATATTGAAGGCCAATATTTTTGCCCTTCAATGGTTGTAGAGAAAAATTAATGTTAGTAGGAAAAACTTCTTATCTGTAAATATAGGATGCTGTCATCAAATCTGAGTTTTCTGTACATTTATTGTACAACAGTACATTGAGAATTTTCTCTAACCTGATACCCTCCAGGTGTGTTCGATTTCAGTTCTGATTGCAATATGGCCAATAGTCATGCTTGGTGAGAATTATAGGAGCTTCAATTAAATATGTCTGGAAGGCATTACATAGGGAATATGCCCTACATATTTAATGTAATAAAAATATCTCTATCATGGCCAGGAAAATGAGAAAAGAAGCTACATGGAACAGTCAAAATCTTTGATTGTCAGATCATTGGTAACGTTTCTGCATATTGCATATAACAGTCTGGAGAAAGAAAAAAGGTGCTCTGAGTCTAATGATGCAAGCTTGGAATGCCATCTAATTATGGTGGGATTCAGCTGGTTCGCACCACTTCGGCAGAACCGGTGGCTAATTTTTTTGTTGCCCAGGCCCAGAATGGACTTCTGGAAGAGGCATCCACACAGAGAACTGGTTGTTCACATATTTGAATCCCACCACTTCATCTAATCCCATGGATTGAGTGATGAAAAAAAATGGCATCAGTCTCCAATTTGATCATAAGAAAGCATCTAGTTAATTGAAGAGGATAATAAACTTCTCAAAAATACTGTCAGGCCCTAGTAACCAAATCCCTGTGTGAAAGGTTGAAGTTGACTGCTTTATTGTGATTTATCTGTAGTACAAAAACCTCCCCAGACTGCTCACCTTCCCTTGGAACAAACAGATAAGGTTTCATGGACCTTGGGGAGAGGAGGAGGAGAAAGGGGTCAATCCTATTTCTCTTGTGGCTCACAATGACTCAAAACTAACTTCTTGCTTGATCCCTCCCCATAATAGACCTCTCCCTCTTCCAAATTAGCTGTGAGCAGCATGAGGGGAGAAACCTCACAAAGTAAGACCTACAGTAGGAGTGGGCTCATTTGATTGTCCTAGTTCCACCTGCATTTCCTCCAAACAGAAGCAAGCAAGTTGATACAACTGTCCCAGATTCCATGGAACTCCTTGTCTAACCAACTCAGTCCAGACGTTGTGTGGACCCTGCCTGAATTGGTCTATCAAGGCTGCTTTGTTCCAATCTGCATCTGCTGCCAAGAACTTGAAATCAGCTATGTAAAGCCTCACCCTTCTGTTGCCTTGTCTGAGCTGCCAAAACTTGCATCTGGCTCTCACGACTCTTTATCAGGTCTCCAAAATGACCTCTGAATCTGTCCATAAAGTTCTGGTAATGTCCATGAGTTGGTTGTTTCATTCTACGATGGGCAGGGCTCACTTAGCTGACAATTCCTTTAACTAGCTTAGCACAAAAGACCCTCTTGTGTGCTCTGTAGGGAATTCTGCAGGTTGGATTCCCATAAGCAACTTGCAGTGAGTAATGAAGGTTCTCATCTTGTCTGCTTCTCCCCCAAATGTCTCTGAGAAACCTCCATGGTAATGAGTAGCTGGTGCTGCCAGCAACGGGGCATTCTGGAATTGCTCCTGAACCACTATCAGGCCCAAGCAACCAGATCCACACATGAAAAGTTCAAGGTGACTTTCATTGTGTTCTACCTATAGTAGAAGGATCTTTCCAGACTGCTCATCTTCCCTTAGAAACAAACAGTTAAGGTTCCATGGAATTTAGGGGGTGGGGCAGTCCTAGGTAGCTGTCGAGTGACTCAAGGCTAACTCCCACTGGATCCCTCCTCCTTGCCTAGCTGGGAATTTCCCAACAGTATGTTGCACAACACCAAGGTAGATCTGAGAGAAACAAGTGGAGAAGCTTTGGTCTACAATTCATCTTCTGGATAGAGCACCACTTTGCTTAGCAGTCAGTCAGTTTTCAGGTCTATACAGGTAGTCCTTGATTTACAACAGTTCTTTTAGTGACCATTCAAAGGTACAACGGCATTTTCCCCACTTACAACCATTGCAACATCCCCACATGATCAAAATTAAAATGCTTGGCAACTGACTCATATTTATGATGGTTGCAGTGTCCCAGGGTCACGTGATCCCCTTTTGCGACCTTCTGACAAGCAAAGTCAATGGGGAAACTCAATTCACTTAACCACCATGTTACTAACTTAACAACTGCAGTGATTCACTTAACAAATGTGGCAAGAAAGATTGTAAAATGGGACAAAACCCACTTAATAAATGTCTCACTTAGCAACAGAAAGTTGGGGCTCAATTGTGTGTACCTAATTCTTGGAATATAAGATTTGGGTTCTACTTGTGAATTTTTCACCATGCTGCCTAACAACTAAGCTGGCAAGAAAAAGTCCCTTGATGTTTTAATTGGTGATCATTCTGAAGCTGCTGTATTTCAAAGTTGTCACTTCTTTTCAGCAGTTGTTCAGGATAGTCACCTGTTTCAAATTGCTTGAGGTAGAACATTGGTCTGATGTTCTGTACTTGATTAGAGGAAGATGGATGTGGAATATTTTCACATGGATATGCAGATACATACTGTTCTTGAAGAGGTCAACATTCAGTTGTGTTTCCAACTTCCGATCAGGTTTGAAAATGAACGAATTAATCAGTAGAGAATTGAATCTGGTTTCATTCCTCCTACAGTGCCAATGTATCTCAGAGTCTAGTTTTTTGCTATTGCAGATCATCTTTGTGAGGTTTCTGTAAATAGCAGAACTTTGTTTTATTGAAAAAAGCAATGGTTTCTTACATTAACAATATGAATAATTCCAAAATTAAGTTAATACTTTTGTTATACTAACAAAGTTAATAAAGAAATATGCATGCTTTCAAATTCTCCAAAATTCTTCCCATCAAGCCAAACAATATAAAATGGTTGGGATTCAGACAATGAAATAAGCAACATAATAATAAAGTAAACAATTACAAAAGAGAACAATTACTGATGTGAAACAATCAATCCCTTCCAGTTTAGTTTTTACCAACTTCTAGAAAAACTGTTATAGATATTCCTGGTTTTCATATGTGAAATGTTACATGGTCACAAAACTACCCACTCCTCTTTGTCACCCTGCTTTTAATGCTTTCACTGGCAGATTGAAAAACAGTTCCTCTTTCAGAGTAACAGAGGCAGAAGACAACAGCTGAAACACCACTTCTTCATTCTTTGAAAGAGAACAAAAGGGCAGATGGTGTCCACTTCTCCATTGCTAACAAACTATATTTTCTCATCTTCACAATAGGGAACTTCAACTTGTATTTCCTCAAACTATAATTAATATGTGGTGAAGGAAGCATGATTACATACACTATCATGAGCATATGTACATATTCATTGGGAAACCCACACATCTATAACTGAACCTGAATAGAATTCTCAAACTACAGTTGACAATGATTTCCAATCATGTAGAGAGAGCTAGAAGAACAAGATTTCTAATCATACAGAAAGAACAAAACACAACACTTCATTTTAGGTCAATGCTTTGATTGGACCACAGTCTATCTATTCAACAAAATGTTTAATACAACTGCCGGTTTTACCATCACTACCCAACATTTTTTTACTATTGTACAGCATTTGGGCATTATCTCTTCCTTGTGCGACTGGTGTCACAGCCTTTTATTTATCTTCACCTGGTAGAGTTAGTCCATTGTGTCTTCAAATGAGGGAGGAGGGATCAAGCCAGTCATTGAGAATAGCAAAACCTCCCCTCTGAATCTCTCTCTTTCGTGGAAATATTGGAAAGGTTGTTGAAGATTTAAGATTCTTAAAATGGATTTACAATGGAAACTATGAGCTTTTCTTTTGGGATTATTAAATAAAGACATGGAAAAATGGAAATTTGTCATTATATATATTGAAAGCAGCAAAAAACCTATATGCTCAAAAATGGAAAGAGACATCAATTCCCACAACAAAAGAATGGGTTGAAAAAATGGTGGAACTGGTAGAGATGGCAAAGTTAATTGCATTCATTAAGGATAAGAAGGTAAATAATTTTGTTTCCACTTGGAAACTGCTTCTGGACTTTCTGCTTGAAAGAGCAAAAAAATAAAACTTTGATTTTGGGTTTTGACGACTAAATAGGTCATGGATATAGAAATGGTTAGTGTTTACTATTTTAGATAAGTAAAATGTGATGTTATAACTGTATATATAACTGTAAATAATTGCACCCAAAAAATTGGAAGGCACTGTTTTTTTCCCCTTTTCTTTTTGTTTCCTCAGTTTATTCACTCTTCCTCTTTCCTCCCCTCCTTTCTACTCCCCATTTTCCCCAACAAAAAAATAATAAAGGTATTTTTTTTAAAAAAGAAAAACAATTAAAACATTTGGGACTTATTAGCTTAGGAAAAAAATGATTAGGCTGGAGAATTATTGGGCTCTATTAAATGATGTATGATTTAGACAAAGTGAATAGAGATAACCAGGGTTACCCAGTGAAGAGGTTTAGAATAAATAAGAAAAACACTTCTTTATGCAGCACATAAATAAAATTATGGAATTCATTACCACAAAGTGAGATGATAGCCAATAATGGCTTTGAAATGGTATCAGATAAATTTATGACAGAAAGCTCTATTAAGGGCTCTTAGTCTTGGGGGACAGCTATGTCTCCCTCTCCTTCTTGAAAACAACCCAGAGACATCTGACTAACTATTGAGAGAAAGAAAAGGCTGGATTCATGAACCTTGGCCTAATTCAGCAAGCCTTGATCTCATGTTCTTACATACCTCTTTTTGGTAGCTACTGGAGAGATAGAATAGTACTTCATACCATCAGCTTCTCCAAAATCAATAGCACTCCTTAGTTCAGGGGTAGACAATCTTGGCTCTTTTATGATGTGTGGACTTCAACTCCCAGAATTCCTGAGCCAGGTGGGCTGGCTCAGGAATTCTGGGAGTTGAAGTCCACGCGTCATAAAAGAGCCAAGGTTGCCTACCCCTGCCTTAGTTCAAAGATGTCTCCCAATATAAATTACCCATTAAGGGCAGAGCAATGAGAAAGAAGCACTGTGTCTGAAATCAGCCTTAGATCTTTCTTCATGTTTATCTCACTGCAGCACAAACATTTCCCAACAATCTCTCTTTTTCTGTGGTGTCCTCATGATGTTCTCTTCAATTGAAGTCATCGTGAACTGTACCAGTTTTGCAGTACAGGTAGTCCTTGACTTACGACCACAACAGAGCCCAAAATTTCTGTTGTTAAGCGAGATATTTATTAAGTGAGTTTTGCCTCATTTTACGACCTTTCTTGCCACAGCTGTTAAGTGAATCATAGCCATTGTTAAGTTAGTAACAAGGTTGTTAAGAGAATGGGGCTTTCCCATTGATTTTGCTCTCAGAAGATTGCAAAAGGTGATCACATGACCCTGAATAACACTGCAACCGTCATAAATATGAGTCTATTGCCAAGCCTCTGAATTTTGATCATGTGACCATAAGGATGCTTCGATGGTTGTAAGTGTGAAAAATGGTCATAAATCACTTTTTTCAGTGCCATTGTAACTTTGAATGCTCACTAAAATAACTGCTGTAAGTCAAGGACTACCTGTACTGTTTGTCCTCTTATCCCAACATTGAATTTGCTATGGATTCACTATAACACACTTCCCTCACCATTGCAATAGCCATAGCAATAGCACTTAGACTTATATATTACTCCATAGTGCTTTACAACACTCTGTGAGTGGTTTACAATATCAGCATACTGCCCCCAGCAATCTGGGTCCTCGTTTTACCGACCTCAGAAAGATGGAAGGCTGAGTCAACCTTGAGCCCTGTCAAGATCGAACTCCAGACTCTGGGCAAAGTTAGCCTGAAACACTGCCCTCTAATCACTGCACCACTAGGGCTCCTCCTTCACCATGCTGTCGATAGCATAGCCAGCTAAACCCAGGGAACAGGATCAGCTATTATTAGCCATTTTCTACTGGTATAAGCATGCTCTTTCCCCTCCAATCCATACACAGAATCCTCCAAGGCCATTGTCTTTGGGCAGCAGGAAAATCTAGTTGTTTTCCACAGGCTTTCCTTCTGTATCTATCAGACTTATAAACCCACGCTCAGTCTGGAATCCTGGGCCAGCCTGAAGAACAGCTTACTAGCAATGAGGTGGACAAATCTGCATGTGAAGAGAGAGCAAGAGAGCTCTGCTTCTTCATGATGAAATTTTCACTATGCCTATTAGTTATTGTTTGGCTGAAAATGAATTTAACAGAGCTAGTCCAGAAATAGTATTGCATCAGCTTTCATTTGGACTCCCTTTGAATGCACCATCCAAAACATTTGCTCAAAACCAGAACATATTTTAACAGATGGCTAAACTCATTAGTTTAACCTTCTCTGAAAATTCACCTACTTCACCTCCACATCCCAGATAAAGGTAGTAGTGGGATTCAGATATGTGAACAACCAGTTCTCTGTGTGGATGCTGCTTCAAGAAGTCCATTTTGGGCCTGGGCAACAAAAAATTAGTTATCAGTTCTACCGAACTGGTGCAAACTGGCTGAATCCCACCACTGGGTAAAGGCAACTGAGTGGTAGATATTTTCTGAGCAACTGATGACATTTAGAGGGAGAAAAACTAAATGGAGCAAATCTAACAATCTTTCTTTGAAATTTTTTGTATGACTAAAAAAATAGCACAGACCATTTGCCGACATTACAGCTGTGGCAGGCCAGAGGTCACCAGCGAGGGCAGAAAAATATATATTGCTCTACTGTTCTACTTGCCTGAGCATTGGTAGGTAGCACTTTAATTTAGCCATAAGGGAAAGCCCTTAAACAAGAATAAATAAATAAATCCACAATATTTGTGCTGATGACACACCTGCATATTCTGTGCCAAAATTCCTTCATCTTCTTCTTCCATATTTCTCATTCAGTATCATGAAAAATGAACTATATTGAGGTTTCTTATTTGAAGAGAAGAAAATTTCAGCAGTTTCCAGAGATAAAATGTGTGAAAAGCATGTCCTAGTGAGTGCATAAAATGCTCCCATTTTTCCTTTTTTAATTCTATTGCTTGTAGTTTGATGTCTTCTAGTCTTCGTATGCATCAGATAAAGTGTTAAACCCTACAGGAAGACTACTAAGAAAACCCTTCCTAGAGGAGTTCTTTCCTCTTTCTTGAAGGAAAATAACTTTCAGAAAGCCAAGCTGACACAGTGGTAATTTTTTAAGTATTCACCCATAAATTTATTCCCTCTTGATAATATCTGAAAGGGCACATTTCTTTTAAAAATACATAATTTATGTTTAAATGGTACTTCTCTTAACATTTATCTAGTACAGAATGTTTAATTCTTTATTGTTAATTATTTACTTGAATGAATTATTTCCTTGAAATAAGAATGACATTAGAACATTAAGAACCTGTGAAGTATCAGTGATATACAGTTCTGCCCTTTTGTGAGTTGCAACTATTCAATGAGCTCCTGTGTCTTAGCATTACACCCCTCTAGAAGTCCTCTTTTGCCCTGCCTTTTCTTTTTTTTTTTTTTTTTTTTTTTTTTATTGAAAATTTTTACATTTTACAAAAACAAATCCCCTTCCCATACCCCCCCCTACCTCACCCCCCCCCCTTCCCAACCTCCCAAACCCTCCCCTGGACTTCCCAGAGCTGAGTACAGGCTTAATTAAAAAAAAAAAAAAACTTAAAACACTTTTAAAACCTAAACAAATTTAAATACAATCATCATTCTATATAAGCTCCCTCCAAAAACACAAATTTAAACATTACTTTCTTTGAATATCTATATCTATAATATAAAATCTAATTTCTCCCTCTTTCTTTATCCTAAAACGAAAAAATAAACATACAAATCTTTGTTATACCATTAAAGCTAAATACTCTTAAAGAACTTAAAGTAAGTACATATTTCCTTCAATCTTCATAATCTTCTCTCCTATCCAAAAAGAAAAAAAAAAAAAAAAAAAACTTAAAAAACCTATAAGTCCTAAACAAATCTAAGCACATTTAATTAAACAAATTATTTTGTCTTAAAAATATTAATAATAATATTTAAAAACTAAAAACACTTTTAAATCCTAAACAAATCTAAATACAATCATCACTCTATATAAACTCCCTCCAAAACCACAAATTTTTAAAATTTAAAACATTAGAATCCACTCACTAAAATAAGCAAATTATAATCCCTTCAAAACACAAATTTAAACAATATTATCATTAAAGGTTCAAAACTTAAAACAACAAAGTTAATAAACACATTAAACATTTCAATCTTCACCAATAACTAATTCCATCCGTAAAAAACTACATCCTTATCAATCTCAATTATATTAGTATTATTAATTATTCACATTCCAGTTTTTTCCATTCTCCATTCTTCCATTCTTCCATTTCCCTTCTCCATTCTTGTATCAAACTCGTAAGAAATGCTGCAAGTTCTGCCTTAGGAGACTGCTCCAAAATTCCTGAATCTCCCATCGACTCCGAAGCCAATAAGGGTTCCTTAAATTCCTCCTTGTATTGATCTTTACAATTGTAAGTTGTACAAGTTATCCTCTGCCCGTTCCTCTCTTGTTGATGCCCCTCAGACTGAGATTTCCCAGTTTCCATTTCAGGCAACAATTCCACCCTTAAAGATTGCTCCAAAGACTTTGTAGGTCTAACATCTCCCAGAGATTCAGAAACCACTAAATATGAAACTTCCTTAACCTTCTTCTGTTGCTGCTTTTCTTTGGGATTATATACTGCACAAGTTGTCTTCTGCTCCTCAACCTGGACTTGTTGAGGCCTCTCACACAAAGATTCTCCAGTTTTCATAAATATAGGCTCTTCAAACTGTGATTCTACATTCTTTTCTTCCAAAGCTTTAAACTTAATTGATGGCGATGCACATACCCCCAGGACCGAAGTATAAAAATCTTTTGCTTGAGAAACAGTATTAAGTCTATAACATGTCCCCAGGTAATTCACCACCATTCCAATCGGAACATCCCATCTGAATGAAATTTTTCTCTTTTTAAGTTCATTTGCTAAAAAAGCAAACTCCTTTCTTCTTCTTAAAATTTTAGATGGGATCTCTTTAAAAATTATAACATCTTGTGAAGCAATTTGAAATCTCTTCTTATAATAGGCTTGCACAATTTCATTGCGTAAAGATCTTTTACCAAAGTAAATTACCACATCTCTTGGCAGATTCTTCTGTGCTGCCACCACAGAGTTAACCCTAAATAATTTTTCAATTTCATTAAGTATTCCCTCTTTTTCTTTATTCAAAATCAATGCAAAGTCCTTTGCAACCATCTCCTTCAGATCTCCTTGCAAAGACTCTCCCAGGCCTCTAATTCTTAAGGCATATTCCATTTGTCCATATTGAAGCATAAGAATCTCATTTTCCATTTCTTTTTCCATACTTTCAATTTTCCCCTCCATTATGTCCACTTTTTCAGCTACCTCTTCCACATGGGAGTTCACCTTTTCAAGAACAGAAGCAACACCTTCTAAAGCCAAAACAAAATCTTGTCTCAAGATCTTATTGTTTTCCTCTAAAATCTTTTTCATTTCTGCCCTAATTTGAATTATAACATCTCCCATCATGTCTTGCAAGTCCTTCATAGTTATTAGCTGACCCCCAGAAGAGGGTGAAACTGTTGATTTAGAAACTGTAGAAATCCCTGGACGCTTTGGAGCCATCTTAAAGAAAAACCTTTAGTCCTTCTTAAGAAATTATAAAAATTCCTTCAAAAATCATAACTCCCTCCAAAGAAGGTCATTATAATAAAAAGAAAAAAGGGAAAAAAAGGAAGAGAAAAAGAATTAAAAAAAAGTTTTACTCCTTCTTAAAAATTACAAAAAATTAAACAGAAAAAAAGTCCTTCAAAAAAGGGTCATTACAATAAAAAAAAAGGGAGTTCAAAGGAAAAAAAAAGGGAGAAGAAAAAAAAAAAATAATTAAATAAAAAAAGTCCGTTCCAAAAAAAATACTTAGAGATACCAAAAACAACCATTCCAATCATAAGGAAATAAAAAGAGAAAGGGAAAGGAAAGAAAGAAAAACACCAAAAAGCCTGCCGGTCAGCATTCTAACTTCCAGAAAAAAAAACACCGAGGAGTTTGCCGATCGCCATTTTACTTTCCCTTTCAACAAAGAAAAAAAATAAAAAGAGAGAATAAAAATAGAAACAAATCTTAAAACTTAAAATCCAAATAAGTCAAAGAAAGCAAAAACTAAATCCTCTACTCAGCTCTGTCCATTTAAAAAAAAAAACTCACCAGTTCTCTTTAAGCACGGAGGTGTTTGCGGCGGCTCGTTTTGTCCCTAAGGACAAAAACAGCTGGGAAGCGGAGACAAGTCTGAACTCCGTGGGAGCACTCCTTTCACCCCCCCAAAAAAAAAACTTGGGGGGTGCGAAAGAGGCTCTACCACTATTCAGACACTCTCTACCCCCCCCTTTGCCCGGGAGGGGGATTTTGAACCGCTGAACAGCTGATATCTGCTGTTCATAGCGGTTCTTACACTTACCCAGGAGGACGGCTACAAAGTAGCCGCCATCACGCACGCAAAATCCACCGGAAGTCCACCTGCCTTTTCTTTTTAATATACCCAAGTTCCTGTAAAAAATAATGAATCAATGCTCAGCCACTCACAAATCATTGTGTTTTTCAAAAAGGTGCATCTTGACAAAGGCGTTTCCCTCCCGAGGCTCAGACCAGGTGCAGCTTATATATGAGGTGTAGTCATTGGAACAGCATAAGGTTTCATGCAGCCGGCTCTCTAAAAGAAAAAGAGTATATTCCTAAAGACCTTAAACTGGTGCCTTGAGTAATAGCTACAGCAAGAGCAAAAACAGCAAAGACAAGAAATGGGAATTTAAAAAATTGTTTTAATGTTATTTATTTACTTGGGTATTTAAGCACTATTAAGAAATATACTTTTGTTTAATTTTATACCATTCTACAAAGTTTTTCCATTTTAAAATTGCCTTTTAAAATTCAGATTGAACAGAAAAGAAAATTAGAAAGTCCCAGGGTGATATAACTCCTAGTTGTCCCTGCCCATATTTAAGCATGAGAGAGCAAGTGGAGCAGAACTTTAGAGGATGGTCTTAATGTTTTTGTAATGTTCACTTTTAGAATCCAATTTATCCCTTATCAGATTAATGCGGACATTTTCCAATTGTTGGCCAAGGCCTCTGTAGGAACTGGCAAGGACGCCAATCTCCTAACAGATAAAAGATACCTAGAATGTGAACTTTTCTCAGGCTTTGAACATACAAATACATCTTTTGACAAAAAAAAGCCACCAGTGAAGTAAAAATGGTTGTTCTTCTCCAGCCTTGTGTAGTCATAATTTTTTGATAAATGCAACAGGGAGGAAGTGTTTGCATCTTTCAAATTATATGAGCTTTTTTCTACAAAAATTGAAAAGAAAATCCCTATGTTTGGATACATGTGTGTTAAAACTCTTATTTGAGTGTGAACCTAAATAATATGAACAGTACAAGTAACTGGACAAGACAGGTTCACATATACGCCCCCAAAAGAAATGAATCAAACTGGACAGATTGCACATTACTATATGCATAAATGTTGTAGGAAAAGGCTTCTCACAGATCATGTAAATTGCAAAACCTTTGGAGAAGAGTGTGTCCGTTGCATAATGTTTTGGGTAGGAGTCCTGCTGGGAGAAAAACAGGAAGGAGTGTACCAAAGATGAAGGGCTGGTCAGGCTGGTCAAAAATATATTGTCCCCTGAAACTGAGAACTTCATTCATTATTTTATTTCCATAAAAATAAGGCATGTGTTTTTATTTACTTTTCGTATTTGTATACAACTGTAATCTAGGCAGACTCCCAGTAATTAACATTTACATACAATAATATAATTAAAATATCCATGTTACAGAGATGAAACATACATTAAACACATTAAAAAAATCTTTAAGAATCAAAATAACCACGTAATATGATAGAACAACATAATTTCCAACAACCTAACAGGAGCATCTAAATTTCTACACACCCTTTAAAAGAGGTCCATTTCAATAACTTCTAAAAAATATAATAGCAGAGGTAATTCAAGTCTCCACTGGGATGCTGTTTCAAAGCAGAGATGCTCCTACTGAGAAACACCTGGGCATATTACTGCAGTTTTATCCCTTACTTCACAGAAGTGGGGAACTAACATTTGGCAATGATTATATCAGTTTGATTCTGATTGAAAAAGACAGCCCTGGAAGTATCCAAGCACCAAACTTTATAGCCTTTATTGAATTACATATTGAATTATATCCAGAAACCAATTGACATCCAATGCAGAGTTCATAACACTGATACAATATGTTCATAGTAAGGAGTGCCAGCTAACAAATGGGCCATCAAATTCTGCCCTAATTTAATGTTCTGAATGGTTTTCAAAGGCAGCTCTATGTAGAGAGAATCTTGCAATAGTCTATTCAAGTAATTACAATGGAGTGAGGTGTCATCAAGGTCTCTCTTGCTCCAAGTAGGGCTGCAACTGGCAAGCAATTCAAATTTAACAAAAAGATGTTTGTGAGAGTCCACCTGCCCATCCAATAGTAGCCACAAATCTAGGAGAACCTTCAAGTTACAATGTACCTTCATAAAGGATACAGCTTTCCTGTCAAGAGACAGTACTGGAATTGGTAAAGCACCTCGCTGCACAAAGCGGCAACACTATCCTATTTGGATCCAGATTTAGCCTGTTTTGTCCCATGCAATTCTGGCAATTTCCAAGGACAAGTGTGTACACATAAATACCATCCACATACTATACTTTCAAATGACATTCTAAGTACATTCATGTTAATGTTGAAGATGGGTGGTTGGGGGAGACAGTTTCCCACAAAGAAATGATTACCTAGGGTAATCTCTGTTCCCATACAACCATCATCTGAAATGACCCACTAAAGCAGGAGCTCAAGCCTTTGCAGTTGGTCCAGAAGGATACTATATTCATGGTATAAAACAGTGGTTCTCAACCTGTGGGTCGGGACCCCATTTGGGGTCGAACGACCATTTCATGGGGGTCGCCAAACAACGCAGTCCGCCATTTTTTTCCCCTTTTCCTTAGCTGTGCTACTCCCTTTTATTCTATTGGCTTTTGAAAGCCAATAGAATAGACTCTCTTGAATAGAGTCTAATTCTATTGGCTTTCAAAAGTCAATAGGAATTGTCCAGGCTATCTCTGCCCTGCTGAGCCCGCCAAAAGTCCCATTCTGCAAATGGTGCTGCACCAGTTGAGTAGTCCTCAACTTACGACTGGTTGAGTAGTCCTCGACTTACAACCAGTTGGGAGTCGCGGCATTAAAAAGGTTGAGAACCACTGGTATAAAAGGTTGCACATTGCTCCCATCCAGATCCCAACTAAAGTCACCTACTGTGATAACCATGATGTCAAACCCCACCTAGCTGGGCAAGATCAAGGAAGCACAAACTACACAGATTTCAGTAGAGTATATTTGATACTAGACTGAGATAGCTAAGAATATTGTAAATTATAAAATAAATCTCCCACTTTTGTGTATAGTCTGTTCATGTGGAATTTCTCTGAATTATTTAAAAAGCTTTTCCCCAAGTTTCTTTCTACCTGGACTAAATAGCCATTTATGAAATACGATGTCAACCAACTCATGTTTTTGTCTTGATAGTTTATATCTATCCTTTTTCCATTCTTTTCCAAACCTCATCACTAGGCAATAGTTGTCAGTCACATTCAAAGAGTTCCTCTCAAGGAAAAGGAACATTGCAATCCTATTCAAATCTGCTGGTGCAACTCTTTGCTGGAGTGAAGTATTGATAATCTCCCAGCTCCAGCTTGTCACACCTTCTCCAGCTCCACATAAGAGCTACGTGGGGCATGGTTCCAGCCCACAAGTGGCTGAGGACATACCAAAGAGGATCATCAGTATCAGAATTCCAGCTGACATGGCAAGACATTACTTCAGTTATCACATTGGCCTCCACCCACAAACAGTCAAGATTTTTGTTAATCTGGACAATTTTTTTACAGCAAAAAGCTGCACAAAATAGTCTCAATGGACAGGCAGGAGATCTCTCTATAATCTCCACCTCAGAAGGGAGTTACCAACATTCTCAGAAATGTTGCTGTTAGGGATTATGGTGGTGAGTCTTCTCTATTCTGCACCTTTTTTGAAACAACAATATCTCAGAGATTAGGGTAATTTAGCATTGTTAGTATTTCAGAAGGGTTTTTTTAGATCTAACTTTTACAATGGTTTATGAAGGGACACAAGTTTTGGTCTCTACTGGAGAAGGGGTATTTGCAGGGCTTTTTTTGTCATAGAACGCCCAGAATGGAGTTCCCGCACCTTTTTGGGATGGAACCTTGTAGTGTAGGCAAGGCAGGTTGTATGATGTGTGTGAGTTCCGGCACCTTTTTTTTTTTTTTTTTACAAAAAAAAAGCACTAGATATTTGTATTAGCCATCATTGGTCTGCATTCAGACTAAATGAGATTCTTTACAAGCATGAATCTCACAGAGTTCTTTTTAGCAGATTTATTAAGAAGAATGGAATGGAATTATAAGAATCCCAGTGTCTGAATTATATTGTATTTAGTATCAATTTACTCCATGTACATAATGGCTTTTTTCCTAATGGCTTTCCCATTATCAGGTAAGGGCGTAGTCTTTTCACTGCTAATGGAGAGGCTTGCAACTGACTATTAACCTAAGAGATGTTTGATTCTTTATCAGGAAAAGAAAGAACAGAAGGAGCAAAGAGGGAAGTTAAGAATAAAATGTATGAATAGAAAACTTACCCCGAGCTTCAATGATGACAACAGTGAGGCTTAAAGTCAGAGCAATGCTGTAGGGCTTCATGTTCATTAAATATTCTTTGTTGCCTGAAGCACTCACCTGTGGGCAAGACCAAATTTTTTTGAATAAGGTACTGTTGGCTGCTTTGCCATTGCTGCTCTTTCCCCTGCTGAATACGAGAGGAAAACATTCAGTGTAATTATCAATGCTCCGCCTGATTAATTCCCAAATTATTATTTTTCATTTCACTTGCCCACAGTCCCTTGCTTCTTAACAAATTGCATTTTTGCCACAAAACTACCAAGACTGGGAGACTTAGCTACCCTGTTTGCCAAGAAAGTTTGCTATTAGATCCACTCATTAAAAGAAATAAGAAGACAAAATAAAACAAAACCTCTACAACAGGGGTGTCAAACAGGCAGGCCCCCAGGCCAAGGCGTCATGTGCAGGCCACGCTCCATAAAGGCAAAAAACATCACTATACATCATGATACATCATGCATGTGATGCAATCGAGTTTGACACTCGTGCTCTACGGAGTCCCAAGTTCCCTTCAAAGTCCCAGAATTTCTTCAAAGATAGCCTTAAAACCTCCAATCAGATCAGCACAGATGAAAGGCAAAATCACAGTTCTAAGATTAATTATCTACCATCAGAGGGAACTGTTCTGGTTTCTCTTCATATTGTAGACCAGTATCACATTTTATAGGGAGAAGGGAGAAAAGATAGAAGAGACAGAAACAGTAGATTTACCACATCTCTTCACCAGAGAAATTCTCCATACATATATCTTAGAATTCCAGATCAGGCCAGTTAGACATGACACCAAAGGCCCTGATTCTGTGAAGCTGATCCTCAATTTCCATTAGCTGTCAGATCTGAATAAAGAATGTACTTGTGTTCACTTCAACACTAGTGGGGTTAATATTTGTTATTTGTTTAATGACTCTTGTTTTATTTTGTAGATTCTGTTATTAGAGTAAATAATAGAGCAGAGTGTCTTTTGGTTTAATATTTTTTTGTTTTTAATATCTATTTTACTTTTGAATGCTGTCCAGAGTTCACTGGAGGTGGGCAGCCAATAAATTTAAAATTATTAGATTGGTCAAACTATCAGACAAACGATTAGATTAGATTTGGACTTTTTATTCCCCTATCAGAATAACAGGCTTGGAAGGGACTTTGGGGTTCTTCTAGTCCAAGAAGGAAACCCTGTTCAAGCAGGAAACCCTATAACATTTCAGACAAGTCCAAGGAGACCATAAGTTCCCACCTTAAGTACAAAGCCAACTGGGTGACCTTGGACTAGTCGCTCATTCTCAGCCCTAAGAAGCAGACAGTGGCAAGCCACTTCTGAAAGTCTGCAAAGAAAACTGCAGGGACTTGTCCAGGCAGTTGCCAGAATTCAACACTGACTCAAACACATGCATGCAAACATACCCAAAACAGCAATAAAAACAGTTGGTATGTATTGAGATTTTCTCTGAGAAAGAAAAACAGTTTAAAAAAATGTTAAAAACTTAACAATATGCGGTAACAAATAATAATAAACACTCACCTTCTCATTTAAATTTTCTCTTCTTTTTGTTGATAGTTTCAAACTATACAATTAATAGTGAATGATTAAGCTTTTTACTCCACTGCCAATTAAAACTTTTCATAACTACAGGAATCTTCAAATACCATTTTTCCAAAGATGAATGAAATGTTGATAGTTTAACCATACAGTTTGTATGTTGATCAGTTTCTGGTGAAGTTTCATTTGTTCCTTTTGATTTTCTTTTCTGGTAGTTTCCTTTATTTTCAAAGTAATCTTTCAACATCTCTTTTGCTTACGGAAGAGAAACTAAATGTTTCATGTTTCAAATAGTTGCATAACATTTTAAAAAAACCATTGTACTTCATAGAACAATCTATATTAGGTGTGTTCAATCTACGGCCCATGGGCCACACATAGCCCTGGACAGCTAGTAATGTGACCCCACAAGACCTCAAAAAATAAAGGAAGTTTGTTTTTCATACACATTAACTATATGGCAGATTTTATAGGCAGCCCAAGATAATTCCTCTTCACTCAATGTGGCCCAGGCAAGCCAAAAGTTTAGCCACTCCTGTTCAAGACTATCTATTACAATTAAATTTTATTGGACAAAATGAATGGACAAAAATGTGATATGATTTGCAATATTTACATAATAATATCCTTACATAGATAACACAGATTATATAGTTTATACCATTTCTTAATGATATCAACATTCAAGTAACAAAAGTTGCAACATTGGGGTAACTAAAATGAAATATTCTTAAGTTAAAGAGATTTTGGGGAGTGATGGATTTGTTTCCCACAATTGTCCATTAATATGAGTTTTAAAAGTATATTGGCTTTCACGTTAAAAAAAAAATCCACATAGAATATCCAATTTTTCTTCAAACTGAGGATGTATACCTGATAAAGTTCATCATACTGGTTGTGTAAAAATGTTATAAATAAATAAAAAGTTATTTTTTAATAATATATTAAAGGGGTTAGAGATTCCCCCGTCTTGGGGTAGGGCTTTTATATCCTTGATCCCAAAAGAGGATCAAGATCTTACTTTGCCTAAAAATTATAGACCTATATCTCTTTTGAATGTAGATTACAAAAAATTTTCAAAAATTTTAACTAATAGACTTATGATTGTATTAAATCAAGTGATACATATGGATCAAGCAGGTTTTATAACAGGAAGATATATGAAGAATAATGTTAGACAAATTATTAATTTAATAGAATACTTGGACAAAAACAATCAGATTTCTGCAGGATTGATTTTTTTAGACGCTGAGAAAGCCTTTGATCAATTAAATTGGCAATTTATGTTAAGATTGGTTGAAGAGATGAGATGATCCAACCATTAAATGATCTTTTTAATGGTATCTTACAGGGTTTAGAAATTCCTCCTTCATGGCGTAGTGCTTTTATATCATTGATTCCAAAGGAGGATCAAGATCTTACTTTACCAAAAAATTATAGGCCTATATCTCTTTTAAACGTGGATTATAAGATATTTGTAAAAATTTTGGTAAATAGGCTTATGAGGGTGGTGCATCATCTTGTGCATAAAGATCAATCAGGGTTTATAACAGGAAGGTATATGAAAAACAATGTTAGACAAATTATTAATTTATTAGAATACTTAGATAAGAACAACCAAGTTCCTGCAGGGCTCATATTTTTAGATGCTGAAAAAGCATTTGACCAACTGAATTGGCATTTTATGCTAAGAGTAATGGAAGAAATGAATTTTGGTGAAAACATATTACAAGCCCTTAAGGTAATATATCAAAAACAAACAGCACAACTTATTGTTAATGGAGGTTTGTCGGAGGTTTTTACAATAGAGAAAGGTACTAGACAGGGGTGTCCTTTATCGCCATTGTTGTTTGTTTTAACATTGGAAATATTATTGATCAAAATTCGAGAGTCTCAGGAAATTAAAGGAATATATGTTAATAAAAAAGAATATAAGTTGAGAGCTTTTGCGGATGACTTGGTTGTTACTTTGTCGCAACCTGATTATTCTGTAGTAAACTTATTACAGTTGATTCACCATTATGGTTTGGTCTCGGGTTTTAAGATTAATGTAAACAAGACTAAAATTTTACCTAAAAATATGTCGAGTCAGGAGAAGCAGATTTTGGTTAACTCGACGGGTTTTGAGCTTGTTAATAAGGTAAAATATTTGGGGGTGATGCTGTCTGTTTCTAATGCAAAATTATTTAAAAATAATTATGAAAGGTTGTGGGTCAGGGTACAGAAAGACTTGAAAAATTGGGAAAAGTTGCAATTATCCCTCATGGGAAGAATTGCAGTGATAAAAATGAATATTCTACCCAAGTTCCTTTTCTTGTTTCAAATGTTACCAATTTTGAAAAATGAGATTAATTTAAATGAGTGGCAGAAGGGTCTCAATAAATTTATTTGGGCAGGTAAAAAACCAAGGGTTAAGTTCAAAATTATGCAAGACTTCCGTGAGAGGGGTGGACTCAAGGTACCAAATTTGAAATTATATTATGATGCGGTGGTTTTAACATTAATTAGTGACTGGGTAAATTTGACAAACTCTGAGATACTTTATCTAGAGGGATGGGATTTACTTTATGGGTGGCATGCCTATTTAATATTTAATAAAAAAATAGATTGGGCTTTTAAATCTCATATTTTAAGAATTTCTTTACTTAGGATCTGGAGAAAATATTATAAAAGTGATTTTAAAGTACCATTATGGGCTATACCTTGGCATGCGATAGAAGGAATAAAAAGAGGGGTTAAAATGGATATGGTGACTTATAGACAGTTACTTAAATGGGATGGACAAAACTGGCAATTAAAATCACGGGAAGAATTAGCACAAGAAAATTTTACTTATTCTTGGTTCCAATATAGGCAACTACTAGATAGATGGAAGATGGATTGTAAGGTGGGTTTTCTTAGAGAAGATGAAAATCTTATTAAGCAACTGAAGGATCAAAGACAAACCCACATTAAGAGAATTTATGGGGTTTTAGTTGAATTGGACTCAGAAACGGAACTAATTAAAGATTGTATGATTAGATGGGCGCAGAACTTTGGTGAGCCAGTTTCATTGGACACCTGGGAAATTATTTGGGTGAGAAATGTCAAATTTACTCAAGCACAGAATTTAAGGGAGAATTTTTATAAAATGTTTTATAGATGGCACCTTGATCCACAAAAAATGTCTTACATGTACCCTGACGTGCAACCTAAATGCTGGAGATGTGGTTATAAGGAGGCTTCCTATTATCATATTTGGTGGTCATGCAGAGAGATAAAAGCATTTTGGATCAAAATATGGTGGAATATCCAGAGAATTTTTAGAAGGAGGGTAAAATTTACTCCGCAATTATTTTTGTTAGGTATTGTTACAGATTGTGATACAAAGGAGGTTGTATTGATGTTAAATTTGATCACAGCCGCGAGGCTGTTAGTTGGACAATATTGGAAGAAGGAATCTTTGCCTACATTGCAGGAATGGTTTTTTAAAGTAGCTTATCTGGCGGAAATGGCAAAGATTTCGGCTTTCTTAAAGCAACAAACGCAAGAGAAGTTTTTTGCTATCTGGGACAAATGGATAAAATTTATACAATTTAGATTGGGTATACAAAAATATCATATAGCTTTTTCATAAGTTTTATTTTTATATATATTATAGATATCTTTTTTATATATATAAACATAAAGTTTTTAATTTAATTTTTATTTATTTTTTATTTCTCAAGCCTATATTCTGCTCTGGGAAGCTCAGGGGGGGGGAAGGGAGGGTTTTTGGGAGGGGTGTGGGGTGGGGTTTTTTTTTTTTTTTTATATATGTATTGTTTAACTTTTTTTCTTTTGTATATGTTGTTTTTTGTTCTGTATTGTTCTTGTTTTTCTTGTAAAATTTATAAAACTTTTAATAAAAAAAAAAAAAAAAAAAAGATTGGTTGAAGAAATGAATTTTGGAGATAAAATTTTACAGGCTTTTCGAGGTATTTATCAAAGACAATCAGCACAACTTATAGTTAATGGAGGTCTATCTGAGGTATTTCAAATTGAAAAGGGGACTAGACAGGGTTGTCCACTGTCTCCTTTGTTGTTTGTTTTAACGTTGGAAATTTTTGTTGATAAAAATTTGTGAATCACCCAAAATAAAGGGAATAGAGATTAACAAAAATGATTACAAATTAAGGGCTTTTGCAGATGACTTGGTTGTCACTTTGGTTCAACCAACTCATTCTGTAGTGGAGTTGTTACAATTGATAAATCAATTCGGACAAGTCTCCGGTTTTAAAGTTAATAACAATAAAACTAAAATACTACCAAAAAATATGACTAATTTGGATAAGGATACTTTGGTTAGGTTGACAGGTTTTGAAGTTGTAAAAAGGGTTAAATATTTGGGGATATATTTATCTGCTTCTAATGCAAAATTGTATAAAATTAATTATGAAAAATTGTGGTTTAAAATACAGAAAGATTTGAATGATTGGAAAAAATTGCAACTATCCTTGTTGGGGAGAATTGCTGCGGTTAAAATGAATGTTCTACCAAAATTTCTGTTTTTTGTTTCAAATGATACCTATTTTAAAGAAAGAGGCAAATTTAGAAGAATGGCAGAAAGGTATTAACAAATTTATTTGGGCGGGGAAAACAACAAGAGTAAAGCTTAAAATTATACAAGATGTTCGAGAGAGAGGTGGACTCAAGGTACCGAATTTGAAACTGTATTATGATGCGGTGGTTTTAACATTGATTAGTGATTGGATTAATTTAACAAATGTAAATATACTCCTTTTGGAGGGATGGGATTTATTATATGGATGGCATGCCTATTTAATATATAATAAAAAGGTGGATAGGGTTTTTAAGTCTCATATTTTAAGAACTTCTTTATTGCGAGTTTGGAAGAAATATTATAGAATAGATTCCAGAATTCCATTGTGGGCAATCCCAGGGCATGCGATAGAAGGAATAAGAAGAGGAGTGAAGATGGATAGTATTTCTTATAAACAATTACTTAATTGGGATGGGAAAAATTGGCAATTAAAATCTATGGATGAATTATTACAAGAAAATATTAATTATTCTTGGTTTCAGTATAGACAATTATTAGAAAGGTGAAGTACAGATCAAAAAGTGGGTTTGATTAAGGAGGATGTGATTTTGTTGAAACAAATTAAAGACCAAAGTCGAACTCATATAAAAAGAATTTATGGTGTTCTAGTGGAATTGGATTCAGAAACAGAATTAGTTAAAGATTGTATAGTTAAATGGGCTGAAAATTTTGAAGAGCCGATCTTATTAGATACATGGGAGATAATTTGGGTGAGGAATGTTAAATTTACACAAGCTCAAAATTTACGAGAAAACTTTTACAAAATGTT